TTCTCAAGCTCGGACAGCCGGTCCTGCGCACCAGAGCGGGGAGACACCAGGCTGGAGACACCAGGCTGGAGACACCAGGCTGGAGACACCAGGCTGGAGACACCAGGCAGGCGAACAGCGCGTCGGCGCGGCGGTGGCTGGGCGAGCAGCGCCGGGTGGGCAGGCAGTGCCCACGGTGCTGGAGTGTGGACCAGTGGCGCCGGGCGGGCCAGAAGCGCCGAGTGGGGCGGATCCGAGCAGGGAGGGCGCGCCTTTGTGAGGTTACCAAAGTCGACGGCCTCGGTCTTGACGTCGACCTTCGGGTACGCCTCCTTGAGCTCCGCCGCCACGGCGTCGAGCTTCGACTGTGTCCGCGACACCAGCACCACCGAGCAGCCGCGGCGCGCCAGCTCAAACGAGATGGCCTTGCCGATGCCGTCGGTCGCGCCCGTCACGACCGCCCACTTGCCATACTTGGTGAGATCCTTCGGCGCGCGAAGGAGCCCCTTGTAGAAGACGTAGAGGAAGGAGACGAGCTCCTTGGCGAGGAAGAGCGTGCCGGCGACCCAAATGAGAGTGGAGAGCATGCTGAAGGAGGCCCCGCCGCCGCCGCCGCACCGCACACCTCGCCGAAGCGCCGATGCGGCTCCTTTGCGAGAAAAATTTCCGCGTACAAGAGGGTGGGCGACGCTGAACCACAGCGTGTCCCGGTCCGTATTTTCTCTTCTTATCCGTTACCATGTAGAGCAAGGCCGAGGGCGGGCCCTTTCGGGCTCGGGCCGCCCTCTCGCCCGCACCTCTGCGGGGCTTGCACGTGGCAGCGGCGGCTCAAGATCCCAGCGATCTCGAGTTCTTCACGCTATCCACTGCGCCGCGGCTTCGCCGCGCCCATCCAAGCCCAGGGCTTGGTGTGCTGATACCCGCATCTCGCTCTGCGCATCTCTGAGGCTACCCGCGCGCCGACTGCAGGCCGACTGCTACGCGCGCGGCGAGAGGCGCACCCCATCGGGGACAGGATTGAGGCCCCTGTACAAGCTCGGCAACGCTGCCGTCGTTGCCCTCCCGAGCCCTCAACACGATGCCGCAGGCTGGGACAGGATTGGAGCCCCTGTGCTGCGTCTGTGGTGATATGTGGGGGACACTTTCTCCTCCCTATTCATGTGAGTCACTCGACTGCGTCGAGGGGGGGGACGTCTGAACCACAGCGTGTCCCGGTCCGTATTTTCTCTTCTTATCCGTTACCATGTTGCATGTAGAGCAAGGCCGAGGGCTGGTCCTTCCGGGCTCGGCCGCCCTCTCGCCCGCACCT